AAGGACGATGCTACGGGGAAAACTCAAGCGTTTGAGTAGTTTTCCCATTTCAAAAATGGTGAAATGTCAATTTATGACAAACCTCGTTCTGGTCGTCCTTCCACGGCCCGAACACATGAAAATGTTGAAAAAATTCGTGAAACCATCAAGGAAGATCGATGACGGACCATTGAAGAAATTGTGGAGCTGTCGGGAGTGACTTGGAGCTCAGTGGCCAGATTTGTGGCAGTCGGGCGACTGGTTTTTCCATCATGACAATGCCCCTGCTCACACAGCCCTGTCTGTATGACAATTCTTGACCAAAAATGGTATGACCCCTGTTCCTCACCCTCCATACTCACCCGACCTTGCCCCGTGTGACTGTTTTTTTTTGTTTCCTCGAATGAAAAGAGACATGAAAGGAAAAAACGATGGAGGCGCTGTCAAGCATCTCAAAAGATGAATTTAGACAATGTTTTGAAAAATGGAATAAAAGACTAGACAAGTGTATTAGTGTAAGTGGAGAGTACTTTGAAGGGGCTTGAAGGTTTGTGCTTAAAATTTGAATAAACAAGTTTAAAAAAAAATAAGTTCGGTTTCTTTTGGGTACCCCCTCGTATGCACCCAAAATTTACAAATAACAAGATTACAATTCTTGCTATTTAACTTAATACTGATTTTTTAATGATAAAATCTCTCCTTGATAAGAAAAATGATGGCATGCCTTGACAATTTTAGCACCTTGTTCAATGTGCTCTGAGTTGAAAAAGTGTGAAGATCTCTCGTCTAAACAGTGATTCAGCTTACCCTGATGGCCACCTTGAGTGAACGTTGGCCGCATCTGCGTCCCAAACACAGCATTCTGCTGTTGCGACATCAGAACATGTCTCCATTCAGCACCACTTCCTCGCCCACCAATGTTGATACCATCTGGTCCAATGCTGACATTCGGTGGCCTCTGGTTATTACGTCCACCTGGTGTCACATATGTGCCCGCCATCCTGTGCTGGTGCTGCACAATTCCACCAGGTCCTCCAATATACATGTTGCCCCCACCACCATGAAGTGTCTGCTGCTGTTGCTGTGGTCGCATCATCGGACCTGAGAAAAGTTCAATCTCAGGGTAACCGACGTCCTACAAATTCATGGTAATCATCGTCATAATAATAATATACGCCTTACCTATCTATCTACAGATTTAACAAGACACAGATGACTGGCCTTGGTACCCAGGAACGACAGGGACCACAGACCATGTCCTTCGACTGGCCCTCAATCACAGCCTTCTGCAATCATATCCTACTATGCCCCACCCACTGCAGAGGAAACGTAAACTGTAAGGCTATTCTGGCTCTGATACCACTCCCAACAATTTGCAAACTACCTGCTGGTAGTAGCCAAGACTGCCATCTATAAGACGTCTCTGGCAACAAACAGTAACCATTGCCACACGCCAGACGAGTACAAGTTCCACATGAGGCAGCAATACAGACTGCACATAGAAATGCAGTACAGTCTGTGGACAAATGATCTGTATACTTCCATCCACGATGGAAGGATCACACTCAATCAACAGATTTAGAGGCTGCAGTGCAGTATGGCTGACTGCCTCTCAGATTCAGTCCACAACCACCCAACTTTATAACTATTCCTTACTGTAAATTTTAACTTATATTATTGTTAATAAAATTATCAGAAAAATATACCTACCTATCACAATTAAGAGATCAAAAAATTAAATGAACTGTAGTTTGATAAGTTTTATTTCCTGACGTACTATCTGTATACAATTAAATGCAAGTTTATATCAGTGTTTTATTATTATTATTACCGTTATACAATTCTGGTATAAAAACACCCCACTTTGTGTGTGCTACATGTTTTGGCCTATTGTGGCCATCATCAGGTACAGAGAGCTTTTACAAGCACCCCTTTCTATCTTCCTCCCTACACTGGCCAATGTTTACACATTGGGAGTGCACTGTACCAATATGTTGCTTATGTAATGCCTTTATTACTAAATATTAAACATGTATTCTAGGGAAACACTGGCACCAATCCCAGAGAAGCTTCTTGAAATATCCGGCGAGTCCCAACATAAATATCATTGACTCATCTACACCAATAAAAGCAAGTATGAGAGCGCCCCTAACAGGATTAGGAAACATTGTAGTCAACTCCATAGCATTTACTGCAACTGACATCACCATTTCATAACAGAAAATAAGGATGTATGTGTATAATGGGGGCAGTCTACACATATATCCTATGTGACACAACAGGATGCATATTATTAAGACATAAGACTAAGTAGAGGGGACTCTCACCCCAGATACTTCTAAAGTCTTAAGGTTTTACACATATGAACTGAAAGAAGATACAGCCCCTGATGATGGTCTTCCAAGACCATAACATGTTGGGCTCTCTGCAACAGTCTACTCAGGCAACAAATGAGATAAACTTTGATAGTAATTTTCATTTGATTTTAATGAAGGAATCAGCCCAACATATGAAGCAGGGTGAAACACATGACTGCATGACCATATAACAATGATCTGCACAAATTTACTTTCCAGAAGCTACAAGTATTTTGCAGAAGCAGTTTTATTCCTTTGTTAAATAAGTGTGACATACTTTGTAAGAATACAATCTATGAATAAATTTTAGAGAAGAAAGAGAACTGATATGAAAGGCAGGGAAGAATTTGATTATACTACTAACCCAGAGCCACATCCAAAAAATAGGACACCAGCTAGGCCCACCCACTCCTCACTAATGAAAGAGGAGTGCATATTAAATGACAAAAATGTCAAAAGAAATTCAGTGAATCAAAACTCTGGCATTAGCCTTGCTATCAACATGAAGGGACAATACTAACACATACAAGCAAAAAGCAGTTACCACTCTTCCCCTGGCTGTAAGCAAACTCATATACTGGTTTCATAGAATGTTGGGAAATTGAGTGGCTGCACACCTGGCAGCTTCTCAAGAAGGGCTAAGCTCCATGGAGCTAATGAGCTCTGATAGGAGCAGAAATGTGATTTTCTGATGATGAATTACACCAACAGGCAAACAGGACTGTGTCCTGTGAGCAAGTAAGATCACCTTAAGAAAATGTAATGGCCATACCTGAGGGGGGCATTGGTTGTTGTCCGACTCTTCTCATGTTCACTGTTGTAAACCTCTGTTGCTGCTGCTGCTGGCCCATGAGCATGAGCTGTGGGTTAGCCTTGTACTCTGGAGGGGGTGGACGCGGAACCATGCCCGCCATATGGGACTGTTGTTGGAGAACCTGCTGTTGTGCTCGTAACATCTGCTGCTGCTGCTGTTGTTGTTGTTGTTGTTGTTGTTGTTGTTGCTGCTGCTGCTGTATCAACTTATGTTGCTGTTCCAAGGCTTGTCTACTTCCGACAGTGGCATCCACCCCTGGACGCCCTGCTGCACCACCTGGACGCTGACGTAGGCTCTGCTGTGTGAAGTTGATGGTCTGGGACTGTGAAACAGTATAGGTGTCCCCAGGAGCTGGACCAGATCCTGATGGGGCAGGTGCTGCTTGTTGCTGGCTGAAATACATCCCTTGCTGGGCTGCTACAGACACAACCGGCTTCAGGTCCCCACTTAGCTGCATGTGTTGCCCTGCAGTCACCTGCAACAGTGCAAGGCACATAATGACAAACACATTTCTCTTTGAGACATTCAAAATAGAACACAGCGTTTCAGAAATTGACTGTGTTTTCTGAAGCTCATTAAATGTGACCAGCAGTCATGTTCTCACTACAGAAAATGGAAAGAAAACTTGCATGAAGAATCACAAGTTACAGTCCTCGAAGTTGCTGGTCCAACATTTCAGGGGAACCTATGTAGCAGACCACATGGCTGCTTTTTCACTTTCTTAATCTACACACATTCGGTAGCACTCCTCGGATGGGGGATCAGCCCGTCGCAAGGCAGCTACCTCCAAACAGAATAAAGGCACATGGGCATCCATGCCTAAGACCCTGCGACCAACTGCGATAGGCGATCAGGGAAGCGTGAAACTGCAAATTCGTCAAAACCCCGAGGATCCATTTTTATTTACGATGACAATACTACATACTATGAGAAAGTAAAAGTGTAGTCGAATGCCCTGGGCGAGTGGATGGCACTCCTGCAACGTATTCAGAAGCTCCCGTGTTCAAGACTCGGCCAGGAGACCGGCTATCTTGGTCGAGATCAATTGTGGTTTTCCTCCTTCCAAGTGAATGCCGAAATAGTACCTGAAAATAAGCAACGGTGTTTCCTTCATCGTGTATTCCAATTCACGGATCTCCCTACCACTCTAAGCTATACAGTGTGAGCTACTAACAGCGTTACTAATACAAAGATGGTTAAATACTGAAAGACGTTGGCTGGACAGAGGCACAAGAAACTGAAATGACGCACGCCTTGCCTTGCCTCGCCGCACCATCTGTAACTGACATCAGGGCCAGGAATGTTGGCTATTGTAATATAACCTGAAAGTTACTGGTGCCCGCCTTCAACAGAGATTCCGGAATTCTACTCGCGACCTGTGCTGTACGATGAAAATGAAAAGGGTTACAGGATTTTTAGAGATTTCAACAGGAGTTTATAAACATAACTACAGAAATCGTGCCCTTCAATGTGAAAGAAAAATCTTCATTCCAAATCTGTAAGCAGTTTGTTTCAAAGGGGGACACGGTAGCATAGTTGGTTGAGGCACTCTGCTACAAGCCTGAAGGTCGCGGGTTCGAGTTCCGAAGAAGTGGTTTTTTTAAATTTACCTAATCCTTCCTGCTGCATTGCGGCTCTGGGGTCGACTCAACCTCTAACAGAAATGAGTACCAGGAATATTCCTGGGGGGAAAGGGCGGCCGGCGCGTAAGGTTCACCTCACCTCCATCTGTGAGCCGATTGTCTAGAAAATGTGGGAGCCTCGACGTCTGACAACCTTATGGGCCTCCACGGCCGGTTACAGGGATAATTTACTTTTATGTTTCAAAGCCTCATATATAAAATATTCTTTCGTAATTACTACTCTCTCCTTGGTCACCGTCTTACGTCATGGCAAAAAAGTTGATCTTCAATTTATTCTATGGAACTGTGGGTATCCAGAGAGTGAGTGCGATGTAGAACTTGTCCCAGAATGCGCACGCACCTCACGCTAGCTATTTGATTGGCGCGACTGAAATTTATCATGTCACTGACTTCGCTTCCATCAAATCACTTGCTTTATCGCGAATTTCATTATATCTTCCGTGTTACACAAATATCTGCCCAAATAAACACTGCGCACTTTCCGCACATCCAAGGCCATAATTTCCCTCATTAAAAGACGATAGTGTTACTCTCTCACCGAAGTTTCAGTTACCCTCCGAAAAACCGTTCAAGTATGTCATTAAAACGGCCAATCTGGGAAAAGGAGGGTAAGCATTCTGGCACACTTCATGACGTTTCTACGCGTACAATCATCGCGAAAACCGTGAAACTTGCGAAAGCGCGTTTGGCATACAATTTGTACTTCATTTTCGTCCCCAACTTTTGTTTGAAACATCTTTCGCTCCGATAAAAAACATGACAGCTTACGGCCGCATAAACGCACGTAGTTTTCCATGTGAACTGCCCGTTACTGTCGTCGGGGGTTAACCCAAACTGCAACGTCACGTAGCTTTCCACGTGAAGTGCCCGTTATTGTTGTCGGTGTTTAACCCACACTGCAACGTCACGTAGCTTTCCACGTGAAGTGCCCGTTATTGTTGTCGGTGTTTAACCCACACTGCAACGTCACGTAGCTTTCCACGTGAAGTGCCCGTTATTGTTGTCGGTGTTTAACCCACACTGCAACGTCACGTAGCTTTCCACGTGAAGTGCCCGTTATTGTTGTCGGAGGTTAACCCACACTGCAACGTTTCAATAAAACCCAGTTAATCATATCAGTACAAAATATCACTAAAATGGTTTGGCGGTTCTCGTTATGTTACGAACGGACAGACATGTCACAGCAAATACGCGTATTCTTTTTGGGGGATTTTCGTCATGAACGCATCAAAAATTGTCCTTGGAAATAATAAAGGACAGAGGCACGATACCCCATTATACGAGGGGCGTTCAAGTTCTAAGGGCTCCGATTTTTTTTTCTCAGGACTGGGAGCAGATAGACACATGCGGTTTAGTTTAAAATACGCGTGCACTCTTTGTGAATGCGTGACAGAGATGGCAGCACTCTACGGCACACAGAACTCTAGTGGTAGCAGCGAGAGTGAGGACTGTTTCTGATACTTAAAATGGCGACGTTTCCGTTACAAGAACAGCGAGTAATCATTTGTTTTCTCCACTTGCGTGGTGCGACACCCATTGAAATTCATCGACAGCTGAGTGAGACGTGTGGTGATGGTGTCATGAATGTGAAAAATGTGCGTTCGTGGGCGCGACAGTTCAAAAAGGCCGAACGTCTTGTAACAACGAACCAAAAATATCTCGGCCTCGCACCAGCCGGTCTGACAACATGGTCGAGCGAGTTGAGAAAGTTGTTTTGGAGAATCGCCGATTGAGTTTGGAAAACATTGCCTCCAAAGTTGGCATTTCCGTGGGATCTGTGCACAAAATCCTGCATGAAGTCCTGCGAATGCGGGAAGTGTCCTCCAGGTGGGTGCCACGAATTCTGACGGATGACCACAAGGCTGCACGCATGGCAATTTGCCAGGCGATGTTGACACGTGATGAAGGCATGAATGACTTTCTTTTCATCAACTGTGACAATTGATGAGACATGGATGCCGTTTTCCAATCCGCTATTGCATCAGTGGTCAAAACAGACTCCTACAGAAGCGTTCGCAGCGGCCATGGAATCGTGGCATTGACGTTGTGAAAAATGTGTACGGCTGCAGGGAGATTACGTTGAAAAGTGACATAAGTTTCGAATTTTTGTATGATTATTGTGTGAGAAAAAAATCGGAGACCTCAGAACTTGAAAGCACAACGTACATTCAATTTACGTATTTTCTGAAGAAGAAGAAGAAGAAGAAGAAGAAGAAGAAAAGGCATAACCTGGATAACTCAGTCGGTAAAGTCACGATTTTTCTAAATATGTGTTAACAGCAGTGGGATCTTGTCACGTCATCTCAGAGGTCTGCAATTGTTTCCCTGCCACCCCCATTCTTCAACAGTTTCTGAGCCCTACCAGAATAAAACTATTTTAACGAGCAACGCGGTTGCATACTGCCACCGGTAAGCCTTCAAATGGCCCCTCCACTGGCTTACCCGCGATCCTATTGGCTACTGCGGAGAGGAAGCCGTCAAATGGCGCCTCCATCAGCGTTCCCTTGAAATTTTCGCAACTGTCGCGGTGACATCACATACATATGAAAGCGGTATTTCATTTGCCTGTCACTCCCATCACTTATCACGCGTTCCTAACATTGCATCGTGGTCATCTGTGTTACGGCTCCATCATCAAGTAGGAATGTATTGCCTCCACCTTCAGAATGTTTAGTTGTCAGAACTTCAATTCTTATTTACATTTGCATTATAACTAGGTACCGGAACAGCGTAGCCGGTAGAGGACTAGCTACAGAGTGGGCTACCGAAGGTCAGAGTTCGAGTCCCGGTAGGTTCAAGAATTTTCTCTTCTCCGAGTCGTCCAAGACCGGCTCTGGGGTCCACCCAACCTCTTATCTAATGGGTACTGAGGGCTCTTTTGCCGGAGGTAAAGCGTAAGGGGGGCCGGCCACCGTAGCCGAGCGGTCTTAGGCATGTACTGTCTTCGCTCGCTCGGAAGCCGGGATCGTGAGTTCGAATCCCACTCAGGGCATGGATGTTTAGTTTGTGCGTGTGCGTTCCAAGAAGTCCTACTGAATGTGTAAGATCTAGAAAAACCAAAGTGAACGGAGAAGTTCATGGAGGTAGGCCTAGGTCCACTGGGGCTGTAGTGCCAAGGAAAAAAAAAACGTAATGGGCGTAAAGCTGACCACTCACCTCCAGCTAGTGTCGAGCTCAAGAATATGTGGATCTATGCATCCACTCCCACATACGCTCTTCATGGCGTAGTGCTTAATTAGTTAAGCACAGGGACTTTACCTTATTATAACTGGGTATAATTCGGTTCGTGGTCGAAGAAGCGCCACTGGAACAGATTTCTCCCCGAGTTCCTTCGGTTTCCACCTGCTAATTAAACATTCCACTAATATTTCTTATCACCGCCCCCTGTGGTGTACGATAGCCCTGACCTGGTCTTCAAGTTGGGTGTTGGCACTTGGATGATCGAAGAATAAATTAAATGAAGTTGAAGTGCTAGTTCAGTTCATGTAGCCAATGTTAGGGAAAAGAACATCCATGATGTTTCATTTTTTTTTGCGTTAATTTCAATCCTTTATCATCTTGCATTGTGTACCGGCTTCTCTATGCAGGTGTCGCACGAGGAAACGTCCTATATTCTAGGTCATAGTATCGCTAATTAAGCAAAAAAGAGTGTATAGGTTGTAACCGTACGTCCCTCGCCAAAATTATTTAATTAAGTGCATGACGAATTGAGGCACTGTTTCTCACCATGAGAGATGCTCCTCCGGCGAGATACGATCCCGGGACCGTCTAGTTGTAATTCAGCTATAGTCCTCCTTAGGCTTGGGGTGTCACTACTGTCCCTAACCTCGCC